TTTTTTTTTTGTAATAAATATGTAAATTTTTTATTTTATATTAGTTAGGAAAAAGAGAAAAGTGCACCGTGTCATACAGCATACAGGTCGATTGGACAACGGTGCACTCTTCTCAATCCTATGAGCTGGGTTCAATCCCTCTCCAAAAAATTGCCCTGGTTCAAAAAAAAAAAAAAAAAGAAAAAAGATAAAAGTGAAAGCTTGATGGGTCTAACCTCCAACTTATCCAAAACTTATCAGGCCAGCCTGTGCACATGGATCCCCACCTCTGGTCCAATTCCATTCTTGGGTTCACAAATGACAACCAACCCCTAATCTGGGCTCAGCCGACGATAAAGGCTCACTAAACTAAATCGGAAAAAGAAAAAGCTTGGAAGTGAGCTCAGCGCAAAGCTCTGCAACCCATTCAGCAATGGCGGCACTCTCGTCTCTGCACAACCTTTCAGCTACACTCTCGCTCTTACCCAAACCCTCCCTCTCTCTTCCTTGTATTCATCCCATCCGCACTCTTCACCGCTTTGCCTGCTCCCTCTCCTCTTCTTCTACAGAATTCAACATCTCCTTCGCCCCACCTAAACCCAAACCAAGACCCCCGCCAAACCTCAAAGCCCTCATCCCTCCTGAAGAAGATGGGGACTCTCCTCCTCTTGATGGGCAGCTTATCATACCCTGGATTGTGCGTGGCGAGGACGGCAACCTTAAGCTCCAAGCTCACCCTCCTTCTCGTCTCATTCACTCCCTCGCGGATGCCAGCACCCAGAACTCCAAGAAGAAGAAGGATAAGGAGATGAAGAAGCAGAGGAAGAAGGAGAGTGCAGCTGTTGGCGGTGCTGCGGAGCCCAAGCTTTCAAAGGCGGCTAGAAGGTTTTACAATGAGAACTTCAGAGACCAACCGCAGCGGTTGAGCAAGGTCCTTGCTGCTGCCGGAGGTAATAGATTCACTTCACATTTCTTTCAATACATGATTGTATATTTTTAGTTCTTTTTTCTTGGTGATTTGTTGATTCCTCGAACTCCTACAGAGGGGTTCTGTTGGAAATGCCTGTAAAATGCGAGCTTTTACAAGTTAAATTGTATTATCGTCTCAAAATCAAAATTCTGACAGTGGATTATATATCTTAACTAGTTTGGAGGTTGAAGTTCTCCTTTCATTGCCTTACTGTCCTCGAATTCAATTACAGTATGAGGCTTTTGCTTACTTTTATCTTGAAATTTTTTGCCTTTTGAAAAGTTTACTATGATTTTAGCTATCAATTGGACTTTTGAAATTGTATGAATCCAAATTAAGACATATACTATGGATATTGTTAGCATAAAGTTGTCTGCTTTTATGTGTAAGGATCAGGAAATGCCTGATAATTATTTGACTCTGCCATTTATGTTGTCAGTGGCATCGAGGCGAGGCAGTGAAGAGCTTATTTTTAATGGCAAAGTGACTGTTAATGGTTCTGTATGCAATGCTCCTCAGGTCAGCTTATCCAACTACTTCTTGGAAAATGTTTCTCTTTCAAAGACTTCTAGGCAGCATCTTTCCTACCTGACTTGGCATATGACTTTAAAGCCTGTCTCTCTCTTACAAATGTATGAATTTTTTTCCCTCCACGAAGCATGACTCTTGAAGGGCATGAGCCAATAACAGCTTGCCAAATTAGGCTTTCAGAGGGAATCAGTGGAAGGGAAGTCAAACTATACATATTCTTATTTAAAGAGGCCATACCTCTGTTCTTTTAATGATATGAGTGTGCATACCTGGGCATTTGTTCATTGAGATTTTGTTACTGGTGCCAGAATGTTGTTGAAGATGATTGCTTAGATCACCTTTATTGGCACCCACAGTAATATGTTTATTATATGTGATAACATGCAGACTCGAGTTGATCCTTCTACAGATATTATATATGTCAATGGGAGCCGCCTTCCTAAGAAACTGCCACCCAAAGTGTATCTTGCCCTAAACAAGCCAAAAGGGTTTGTCCCTCCTACTGCACCTTATCTACTAAGGTTACATTCTTAAATTTAGAAGCTCATTTATAACTGGAACATGTTATGCCAGGTATATTTGCTCATCTGGGGAGAAAGAGTTTAAATCTGTGATTGATCTGTTTGAAGATTTTTTCAAGGGATGGGTATGCACAGATTTCAATTTTTAGGGATAATGTTTTCTTAGCTGCCAAATTAAATTTTGATTTGTTGCTATGAATTTGTGCTCACTTCTTTTCTTAAGGCTTTTTCACGCGTGTGACTATATTTGTTTATAACCTTATACCATGCATTGCGTGTGTTTCCTCAATTTTGTAAATTTGACCTGAAGTATTTTTCATTTACAGGACAAAAAGAATCCTGGCATTCCCAAGCCACGGTTATTCACTGTTGGTAGACTTGATGTTGCCACAACTGGCATGCTTATTGTGACAAACGATGGTATGTATTAAACTTGATGTCTTAGGGCTCTCTTAACATTCATTTGACAGCTAGTGTTAATCTTAAGACAGTGATTGTTTTCTGTTTCAGGAGATTTTGCACAAAAACTTTCACATCCTTCGTCCATGTTAAAGAAGGAGTAAGGTTTCTTCTATTTTGTTTTTATTAATAACAGGGACTATCATGCTGAGTAGGCATTAGACTGATTCTTAGATTGTGACAAGTATAACCTCATAGGAAATGGTTTGTGTATTTATCATATAAATTCTATTGCATGGCAAATCTCTGAAGATGCTAGTTTTTCATTTTGAATGGAGTGGTTACATGTTCACTACCTAGTTCTTTGGAGTCAAGACATAGGATGATCACTAAATTCATTTGTTCTTGCATTCATTTCTCCCTGTCAAGTTTTAAAGGGGTCAAGGTTTTGCTAGTCTAGCCATTGCGGGATGGTAAAACTCTTTTGTTTTTTTATTTTTTCCATTTTTAATTACCATAATCCATACTTTCTTCTTCATTTCATAATTTTGTTTTTTAATAGTGTCATTCTTATTTCTTATTTCCAGTTTCGTTGACATCATGCCATTGCAGATACATTGCAGTAATTGATGGTGTGGTAAAGACACAGCACTTAGTTAACATCAGTAAAGGGACAGTAATTGAGGGCATGCATTGCACCCCAGATTCTGTGGAACTAATGCCACGGCAACCAGATCTAAAAAGACCCCGTCTTCGTATTGTGGTATTGACAAGTTTTGTCTTCTAGACTACTTACGGTTAGATGTACACATTGGACCAACTTTCAAGACTAGTCTGGTGTCTCTTAATTATTAACTGTCCGCTTATTTTTCATTTCCTTTATAGAGTGTCTATACTCTTTAGTTCAAACCTTCTCATCAATAGTGCTCTACTCACCCTTCTTTTCTAATTTCTGTTGGCAAAATTGATTTTTGTAGGTTCATGAAGGAAGGAATCATGAAGTTCGTGAACTTGTGAAAAATGCTGGACTTGAGGTCAGTTATTGGTGTCTTGATGAGAGCATATTTGCTTCCAAACATAATCTTATTAAAGGGATGCTTTAAATGAGCATACTCTCTCTCATTCATCGTTATAATATTAATCAGTCTTTGTTATTCCACGGCTATTGGTTCTTGTTTCAGATTCATTCCTTAAAGCGTATGCGAATTGGTGGTTTCAGACTTCCATCAGATCTAGGGTACAATGCCTTTCTTTCATATAATTTCTTAAGGATATTTTTGTTAAACTTATTGGCATTCTGATAATTGTCATTATTTGCAGGCTGGGGAAGTACGTAGAGCTAAAACAGAGTGATCTGCGCGCAATGGGTTGGAAGGGTTAAAATACAGTGACTGTTTCAGCGGCCATTCACATTTCCCATGCTCTTCATGAGAAAGAATTCATTTGAATGAAACACAACCTTGGAGCCACCTCCTGACTTCACTAGTGTTTGGGTTTGGTTATCTACAAGGCCAAAAACCTCGAGTTGATGATGGCCGCAAATCCTGTTTCTGGGGAAGGTCCAGTAAATCACTTGTATAGATGCTGATACAGCTGCGTTTGGACCATATTTTATGTATACTACAATGCGAATTAATAAAAGAATGACTAGTATGTTATTGACACAAAAAGCTCATATTGATTTTCCATTAGTTGTGATTTGTTACCCAACACTAAAACAAAGCTCATAAGCACAACCCAAAAAACTTGGCACTACACAAAGAATAAATTATAATTACAAATGAAATAGAATTACTCATACTCATGATATTTGACAAAAATTGACCCCCTGGTGGTTCATGTCAAGCAGCAACTTCCAGCACCACATCACATGTCATTCTAGAAGATAAGCAATCACAATTCACAAGAATGGGTTTTTGGAAGATAAGAAAATTGACGTTGGAATACTAGTGGGACAAGATCTCTGCTACTCGATCTTGTGCATAAGGAGGAATCTCCCTTCCTGGGACATTGACCTTGAGGAGATTAGCATACCTGTAAAAAACGGAGTGTTTAGTCAAGTAATATGCGATTTCATCACAATCAAGATCAATAAGTATATAAACATTATTGGGTACTAACTCTGCAGGCGTAAACAAGCGCTCATGCTCCGTGATGAAGGCAAGCAATGCCTGCAATCAAGGGTTGAACAAATTGTTCATAACAAAACAAAACAATTAGCACAAGAAGAAATTAGCAGTTGAGATAACTAGCCTCAAATGGCATGTTCAAAAGCTCATAATAGGTACGGACACGATCTAATCTCTGCTGTACAGTTTCACTGTCAATCGAGGGGATAGCAGCAAGGGCCTGTAATGCCAATACAAATAAGATAATAGTATACAAATTCAAGTCTGGACATACAACGGAAACTCAGACGTCAAATCACCCAGGAGAGGCAGCCATATTTTCTGGTTGCCTTAAACAATAACTGAATGGTCAGATCTCAAAATACAGAATGTAGAGTGAAACTCTATCATTTCAACCAAGAGTTGTTACGAATTTGCTAATGAGAAACATTCAGCGCAATCAATAGGAGAGAGTTAAGGGTACAAAATTTTAAAAACCAGGCATTTCTAACTATCATTTCTTGTAAGGTTAACAATAAAGATGTTTTCTACTCTAAATTCAAGCCAATCAGTTACATAAAGAGATACTCAACAGCATCATAAAGCACATTATGTACCTTTTTTTTTTGGGCCTTACACATTATGTACCTTGAAAAGGTGTTTCACACTTTGAAACCAAATAGATTTATCTGTTCAAACACAAATTTAAAATTTACCTGTTCAAGTGCAATTGAGTTCCTACATATCTGCTGAACCCCAAATAGACTGATGGATTTCATCTCAGCCAAGGCCTAATCAGACATTGTATCCTCACATTAGCAGTGTGAAAAAGGAATACATATAGGTGCTAATGTATATCGTGCACAGGGAATCAGGAGGTAAACTTAATAATTAAATGAATCCAACCTTGATAGATGCATTTTCTGCAATGCTACATATTCCACCAAATATGTAATTTCGCTTCAAGCCCGCAACAAAAGGTGCCATTTCCTCATCCCTACGTGTTATCTACACATACATGATGCAAAAAAAGTAGATTTCATAAAGTTATCAATATTAACAGAGAAGGAAATCAAGAGAACTGCAGTGCTAGGATATTAAGAATCCGTAAATATACAAGGTACAAATTTTCATGGAGTTCTGATGAAAACATCAAGATGCTATAGATGAATCCTACACAAGATAAATCCATTTTCACTTAGTGCCCACTGCCTACCCAACCCACACACCCATCCTTAAGGCTTGCCATATATTACATCCCAGTTCACTAATTACTAAAATCACAATCATATCCTTTAGACTATCCAACGGTTGAAATTGCCTAACTGATTCGATAGCCATGTAGCACATACAGCACGGACATGAATAATTTTGGGCATTCCACTTTTTAGATTTCCCATGACCCTTGTGAATAATGAGTATAAGAATTAAGAAAGCAATGTCTAACAAAAAGAAGAACAGGCAGTTGATTGTGTACCAGAATTCATAGAGCTGTAAATACTGACCTGTGCAGTAAGTGAAATAATGAAGTCATCTGGCTCTTCTGCATCTAGATCATCTGTGTATTCCCTGGTTACCATTTCCTGTTTGGATCATGGATCCTCGTAAGTTTAAGACAATTTCATTCCACCACGGAGTCAGTGTTAAAGCATTCCTGAATTACATTAGTTTCACAAACCTGCATATGGAAAATTGTCTCCAGCTGCATCTCTACACGTAGAACCTTTAGGCAATCAACTGCTAGTTTCCTATACTCGTCTGCAAATGATGCCAGATCCTTAGTTGGTCCAGTGATTGCTTGGGTATGCCGATGTTTACCACTCTCTTCCACTGGATTTGATGCTTTTGGGATTGTTTCTCGAAGCCTATTTTATTAGACATGTGGCATGTGTAAGAACTAGCAGATGAGATAATAGTATTAGGTCCTAAAAATTATCACGAAATATCATAGGTGTGAACAAAGATTGAGACTGCTAAGAAAGCAAGTGGTATAATGATGCCATACATATACATATATTTATGCATACATGTACATACATATTCACATAAATGTTGAATATTCACATTTCATCTCAATCAGACACATAGTCACAACTAATTACATTTATTATTACAAATGGTACTAATATTATGTTTTCATTTCACATACAAGAACTTAAGTAATGCTAAATGCAGAGCTTTAATAAAGAAAGATATGCTCATGTAACCCATTGCTACATGTAGGTTAATACATTGTTTACTACAGAATGGAGAATTTATGCCTCTTGTTTATATTGCTAATGGCTGTTTCCTTGCATATACTTTATTTGGCCTATTGTGGTTTTACACCAGAAAAAAAAAAAAAATTCATAATAAATACATTACTGGAGCTAGAAGAAATACTTGCCTTTCAATTGACTCTGCAACATACTCCAAAGAATCACTCAAGGATGCAAGCAAAATAAGTTTATTATCATCACGGATTAGATTCTCCTACAGAAAAGATGTGATAGGAGAATTAGACAGCAGCTCATTAAAGAGAAATTCATCCAGAGCAATCAACCTCCCATGAATGTTTAATACAATATTCTCAAATGGTAAATGGCTAACTAACAGATCCACATTGAATAAGCATGTACTCCAAATAAGCAGAAGCAGAACTCATCATCAAGGATACTTACCTGCCTGATAGGTCGCAAATTCAAGAGTAGTTCACTTAGTTCAACCTCAATACTTTCAGCATCAGAGGCGATATTTCCCAAATTTAACTGACCACTTGCATTTGGTAGACATGTACTTGCTGGATCAAGTCGCATCAATTTCTCAATATCATGCCTTCCAATAACCATGTAACTCTGCTTCTCAAGAACTGCCTGAAATATTACCAAAAATGTTAATCAATAGAAGAGGGTGAAAGCCTACAGCACATGGAATCATAGACACCTAACATCTGTAGGTTAGGGACCAGATCTCCAACAGGCTGTCAGTAACACTTTTTGCAAGTTAAAAATTCATTTAACTTTGATCTTATTAGATACTAATCTGCACATTTATTATTTTGTATAAGTTAGAAGATGATGAACCATTAAAACCCTTTCTTAATAAATTTGCAACCAGTAGAAAAAAGCAAAAATGACAGATGTAAAGGGAAGAGAAGCATCCATGCCTCCATGTATGAAGTTCGGCATCTTTCATATGTTCGCTCAAGGAAAGTTTGCACATATGTCACAACCTCAGCAGCAAATTTAGGCACTGCTTGAGCCCAACCAAGCACCTAGAGTGAAAAAAAATATATATGTTGTCGAATAGAATCTTTATGATTTTATATAGTTATAATAGTTCAAACTAAAGGAAACAAAAAGCTGAATGAGTCCCTCCAAAAGCACAGCAAAAATGTTAACTATTAACTATTTAACATCAATATTCTCCCATATGTATAACACTAAAAGCATTGAGAATTTCTTCTTTGAGAAACAAGCAAAGACTTTTCTTCACATATGAGAAAAAGAAGATAAACTTGCCTCTTTTGCTAAGAAATCAATAGCCAAAAGTCCCTGTAAAACAGGTCGACCCTTTTCTATCAATGTACTATATGAAGCAGAATTATGCGCTCGTGGTCGAAATGCAGCTGGACCTGTAAGAATACTTTCCTAAGTTAAGACTTTTACTGCAAAGCCAATGATGGAACAAAAACCTTGACTAATCATATCATCACATTAAAAATAAGGGTTAACAGTTTCTCAAACTCCCCCTCAAAACCCATCCCCTCCCCACCTTTTTCCTTTCCTTCTTGCATGCATCCACGTAACCAAAAAGGAAAAAGATTAATTGATTGTTTAACAAGCAATTGTATTTCATGAAATATACATGCCACGAGGTTCCTTAAGAAATTTGCTGTTTTTATTTTTATTTTTTTAACATTACTAGATGGTCATGCCGAAGTTCATCATTAATAGAGCAAGGTATACCAATATGGCAGTCCATTTCCTGCCTAAAGCTGACACTATATATTTGTGAGCATATTTACTTCAACAAATATATATTATTTTTTCATGTCATTGTGCCAACTGTCTTTTCATTAGATCAGTAACTTACACTAAACTACCAAAACTATATCATCCCTCTTTAACCAATCTTGGGATGTTGGAGCCTACACGCTAAATTCTTATTCAGAAGTACCTAGGATTTAATTATCAATTAACTAGATTTTCTTTTGAAAACAAAGTTAGTTGGGTCAATCAAAGACAAGTCTATAAGAAAATGTTGGCCACACTTATTTTTCAAATGATTAATGAATGATTTTTTTTTTTTTTTTTTCATTATGAACCTGCTTGGTGCAGCTTCCCTTAATTTTTAAGGAATAATTTTATCTCTTTTAAGAACCTAATTGACATAGCTTCCCTTGTTTAATTGGCTTGGTTTCATTTAATATGTTTAGGGAAATTGATAAACTTGGCATGTGGATAAGCAATCAACAATGAAGGATTGAGTTCTATCATTTATGAACTTACTTGATATAGCTTGCTGGACTCCTTTCCGGTAGTCTACAAACATAGTTGGCAAAAAGTGGTCCTTCACAAAGTTCTCCACAAAGGTTAGCAATCCATCATTCCTGCAAATGGAGTATTAAAAGGGAAACAAAGAAATGTTAACATCCAAAAGGGACTGCATGTGAAGAAAATTGCAACAAATTTTATATATTCTCACCCATGTTGATTAAATGAACAAAAATACAATAATATATACACAGCAAAAGATTATAGTTAGCTACAAAAGAAAGCAGATAAACTGGATTAAATCCATGCAAAAGTTTTGCAATGAAGGTAGATTAAGAGTTTCCATCTTCCAATAATATCATGACAAACATGAAGGCAATAAAAAGGAAAATTATTGAAGAACCCCAAGATCTTCTATAGATATACATATACGAGAAAGGGGAACCTGCTGGGATTGGCCGAATGCTAAAGAGTGATGAGAATCATGTGGAAACACGATTCAGATCCATCCATCACCATTTAGGTATAAAAACAATTCCAGGGGGCCACTCTCAAGTGAAGCTTTGCCCAGTGTGGTCGAGGTGATTTGCAAGCGCTTGTGGGACTACTAGACTAGTCAGTCCAAAGGTTAGGATACCCAAGTTATAAAAAACAAAGAGAGAAGGGAGGTAAAGTGAAGTGAGAAGACTGAAAGGTAAAAGGTTGCAGGCAGAAGCAAGCAAATAGACTTTGATTTGTGCTTATTATACTTTACAAAAATAATATCTTTTCATTGTGCAGATAAGCTTGGAAGGGAAAATGACTTCTAAACTTACCCAAGCTGGGAATACTTCTTTGGCAGCAATGATGCAACCTTATCCGTAAACTGAAAAGCACAGGAGATCATAAAAGGAATAGAGAACCATCATTATACATGTAAGCCATTTTATTTTTGGAAACGTGAATCTTTCAGTCACAAACCTGGAGAACAGGCCTGTACATAGATGCTGCTAAATATATGCCTTGCTCAGGCAAGACAGAAGCAGACCCATAGCCTTCTTGTAGAGCATTGGGACCCCTTCTACTCCATCCTTGACGAATAAGATCAACCCCTGCATGGTAAATGAGGGAAATCACCAGAAAAAAAATTTAATGACCAATCAGAAGGACAAACCAACGGAGATAAAAATAATAGAGTGAATGCAGTGATTTCCAATGCATTAAATCCAAGATTATTTCTTAGACTTTCAACTAAGTGGAACAAACAACAAATTCTTCTTGAATCTGAATGCTTTTTGCTAGTTTCTCAAGAAGGGAACTTATCAAACAACAAAAGCAGAATTTTTTATTGAGCAGAGCATAGAATATATATCTAATATTATTAGCAAATTCACTACAATATAAAAAAGATTTTAAAACTACCCATAAATTCATGATAAGAACCAAAGATAATTCTAAAGCATAACTAGAATACAACTTTAGCCTACCCTGGTTAGGTATTGATATGGTAGCATCTGTGAAACGAAACGCAAAGGTGAGAGCATCTTCCGCCCCATCTCTGTAAATCATCACCATCTCTGGTTAGGTACTTTAGCAAATTTAAGCAATAAAAAATTCAACTGGAAAAAAGTTGTAATAATTAAAAGAGCCAGATATAGTGAATTATACTATCTTTGCAGCCCAAATCTAGGACAAAGTAACCAAAAAAAGAAATCAATAAGACACTAACAACCATAATACAGAAGCAAGAAAGATAACCTGAGAACTTTCCTAGGAAATCATTATTCCTCTGAGTGCAAAGATCATTAAATGCAACCCTTATTTGCTTACCTTTTTTCCTTAGAAGGGACCTTGCTTGCAAGCCTAGCTGTTTGTACAGCAGCATCTGCAGATGCAGCCTCAGGAGTTGCTCTAAGAATCTCACATATGAGTTGTTGGCATTCACTCTGTCACACATGATTGAATAAAAAATTCAAATTCAGATAATATGTTGGGAAAAGATCTTCTAACTAAAATGCATGCCCAAAGCAAACCTTATTAAATATTGAATGAATTATGGAATCAATCAAGCATTAAGAAACTAGAGAAAGACAGATTACCTGTAACACTGTCAAGGAAAAGCCAATGCTGTAGCCTCCAGTAACTTGAGATGCTTCAGAATCAACATTCCAATTTATATTAGGCCCTGAATTTGGCATGCTCATATCACTTTGTTGGGAAGATTTTGACTCAATTAGTTCTCCAATGACAACATGGTTCTCTGATAAATTGCAACTCACAAATTTAGTTTCAGCAATTAATAAGAGCAATAAGATAACAAGTCAGTGTCGGTGTCTCACCAAAAATCTGAACCATGGTTTCCAAAATTGAATCCAGAAGCTCTTTTGCAGCAGCCTGTGCCTTTCCTGTGGGAGCCATCACAGGGGAGACAGGGCTTACTGCCAACAGAGTTCCAGCCAGTGATATTGCATTCTGATTCTTCTGTTTCCTCAACTGGTAGCTCTCCAACTGTCCCTTCACAAAGTGAAGACTGTTGGTACCAGTTAGGACACACTGACCTATACTAGACCTTGAAGAATTAATGAGGTCTAAATGAGCTTTAATCTTGGATGTGATAATATCATGGATTGTGGGTCGAAGCTGCTGGCTGTCGAGAAAAAAAAAAGGTTATACAAAATTCTTGTAAGACAAAGTTAATAAATAAATGAATTATCATGTAACACAAAACAAATGAAAAAATAAGACCACATAAATGTACTATTTTCCAATAGTTTGTCAAATGTTATGCAGTTCAACATGACTGTTTAAACATTCATTTAGTAAGATCCAAATTTATACACCTATGTCCCCCTATAAGGCCATCAGTTGATGATTAGATGAAGAAAATTTTAGCAATATTAGATGGGTCACCAAACCTTGTTCGGTCCATTGAGGGTAATGAAATTCCCTCTTAGCAGGAAATGGCCTTCTAAAAAGGAAGAATAGAAGTTTTCACATGTGACATGCTCATTATAACTGGTATATAAGCTAGAATTATGTAGAATAACAAGTAATTGCTGATTCTTCCAATATTACAGCTAGTCTACTGGTGGTATTTACAAATGCTCAACTAAGTACAGCTTCTTCATTGTATTCATGAACAGGGAGATAACTCAATGTTTGTCAAAAAATAAAATAAAATAAAATAAGGGAGACAACTCAATTCTTCGATCATGGGACTCCCTAGTTGGAGGTCTCGGGTTCAAACCTTGGGACATCTTGAGAAGGAATTGGTAAAAAGAAGAGCTATCCCCTTTTATATAGCCATGCTCACATGCCAAAAAGAAGTACAATGATATGAAGCTCTTTTAAACCATGCTATGAATTAAATTTAAAGAAGTATATAAACAAGCCAACCAACCATATGATAGCACCAGCTTCAGCAACTTTGTGAAGCATGAAGAGGCACTCGACCATGGTCTGCAAATACTTCACATGTAGTGGAGCATCACTCTTTTTCATCAATTCCTAGATACAAAAAAATACATATGGTACTTCAATGCAAAAGATGGGAGAAAACATAAATAAGTCAACATGGGATGTAACCATTTTAATTTAGTGTTCATACGAGAAATTCATCTGGAATGGCATTTGAAAGCCACAGTGGAATTTGACGAGATACAACTTTGTTGCTATCATTGCCATCAGGCAGCTCCACAGAGCCCTCCGCATCATGACCATCAAATGATGAACTAGGAAAATAAGCAGTCATGTATAAATTCAAAGATCCAAAGAAGAAAGAGAAGGAACTAAGAATGAAACTCAACAAAATTTTCAATGCATCTAAAAAAGTCAGCAACATCTGCAATTCATGATACACATGTAGCAAACACTTCAAAAATGAAAAAATAAAAATAAAAATTAAAAAAAAAAAAGAAAATGAAAGAAAGAAGGGAAAAATTTATCATAAAATAATAATAAAGCAAATTTAAGTTGAGACAGGAAGAAGAACAAAGAAGGAAAGTTTACGGAAAATAATAATTCACAAAATGCAGGAGAACATTAAACCAAACATCCTATGATGTCAAAAACTATGTAATGCATTATAAAGAATGTAAAATAGATGATGAATTGACAACTTACAAGTTTATTTCATTTATGATTTATCATAGAAAAATAAAAGCAAAATAAAGAAAAGGTTAAGAATAAATTAAAAGAACAGAAGGCAGTAGTGGAGACCGACAAGTAAAGTAGGAAAAAATTTTACAGGCTTACCCTCCATCAATGGAACCTGACCTATATGGTCCATCTACAAGTCCGTTACCACCAAATTGATTTTCACCTTTCAGCAACCTGGTTCTTCGAGACAGGGGTTGTGAACCATTAGCTGTGAATGTGACAGCTGTAGTGGTTGGTACTTCATCATCTTTGTCATTAATGCTGGAAGCAACTGAGCTGCAGAGAATAATTTGCTTAAGGACCAAAATGTTTCATAAGGGAACAGCTTTCAACAAAATAATTTTACACCAAGAATGAAAAGTTGCAGCACTTAAGAACTGAACAAAAAAAACACACACAGAATCACTCTCAGTTGGAACCATAAGAATAGGGCACTCTACATTAGAAACCTCACACATAAAATATCCAAAATATATATAGCAAGTCTTAGACTCAGATTCTAATTGAATAATTGAGAAGGCAAATCAGCAAATAATTTTCCATGGTGCTGAAATATTAAATCATCAAGAGCACACCAAAATAAAGGAAAAAAAAATAAGGCCCAAAAAAATGGAAAATACCTGTACTGGCCCTTATTATAAAGATGAGCATGCAAATCCTCCAAAATTTTATAAAAGACTACACCTCGCAATTTTGTCAGTTCAGAACGAATGTCTTGGAGAGCACCAACCTGGAATAGATCAATAGAGAATATTATGACACACATAACACCTAACAGGTGACCATATCTCAGGTTTCAATTCAAAAGCACGCAAATTTTTTGCAAACAATCAAAATATTCATAAGCATGGAATTTTTTCAATGATTCTTGGAAAATGGACAACTTTGCTAATTTGAAACATTTATTTGTATAGATCAGCTGTCCTTTTACTCCAGCAGTAATCACTCATATAAATCCCCTGTACTAAAGCTGCTTGCCATCTTTTTTGGTGTTTTTGGTAAAATATTTGTCATCAAAACAAAGGGAAGGTAAATGAAACAATTATGCTGAATTGTGGACCAACATTTAAGAAGGCAAAGGAGTAGTGATACTTCAATAGATGCATGGCTAAAAGAATGCTAATCAATCCAATCTTGACCTGGAATCCTAGGATATGACAGTTAGGTATGCAAGGATTTAAAATAATGATAAGTAATTATGGTCTATGATGATGGTATTCTCCAAGAAATTATATGATATTACCGTTTGGAGCCCCTCTCTCTCAAGCATCAAAGCAGACTGAACAAGCAATTGAATTGCAGCATAAAGCTGCTTTTCTGCAATTAGCTTCTCAATACGAGCAGGAACCTGAGCCACATCCCAACCAGATGGTTCATTAGATTCATTAAAATGATGGGATTCATTGGGGGAAAATCTGACTATATATGCATCAACATGCATAACTCCAACCAATAAAATCAAATATACATACACACATATTAATACACATATTAAACATACCTAAAATAACACAGCTACAGCTAAAATACAAGTTTAGAGAAAAGTGGTGCCAGAATCATATAAGAGCTGTGGCGAGAGTGAATGCCCAGCTTTACTATTGATACATCACGGAGGTACCCATAAATTGGATATGATTTGAAAAACTAGAAATATTGACAAAACAAACCTGAGCTATGCCCTCAATTTGATCTAACAGTGAGATTATGTGTCTCAATGTAACAGATCGATACCACAATTGATGCAACTGTTTATTGCGAACACCAAGACGTTTCTTTGCTTCAGCCAAGTCAACCTTTAAGACACCAATGCTTTCAGTAGACTCACTGAATAACCGCAAGATCTGAATAGAGTTAAACATAAGAAATATGGATGTCAGAACTCATCCTTACCTACTCATTTCTTTGGAGGAAGAGAGGGAAAGGAGACAGGCAAAATGACCCCACAGACATGAAATCTCAGCAATCAGTCATGATATATAGAAATCATTCACAATAGTAAACTTAGATAAATGACTAAATATCCTTACATGGTTTCTGTTCATCATGTAAATTTCATTATTCTATACATATGCCAAGGAACCTTTATCAGTGAATAACTAACCACATAATAACATTGATTTCCTGGAGCATTCACCTTGAATTCTTGATATGATGATGCAGGGTGTCTTAAAGATAAACTTTGTTGCTTTAGCAAAAGGAAAACTCACCAATAAAAATAATTGTACAGTTAGTAACCTACTTTTATATGGTTTGACAGTCATTCACATGAAAGTGCATCAGACTGAGAGAGAGAGAGAGAGAGAACTATGGTCCTGTCCTCGTGAGGCTTTGCATTTATTGGTAAAAGAAATGATAAGTTATTCAGAAAATTTTAACAGAAAAGTAATATGAATTAGGGGCATTTCAACAAAATTTCATTGTGCTCAATTCCCACTGAATTGTTAGAATAAACATACAAGAACCTGATATCAACTACGGAGAACAAAAATTTATTTGCACCTTATCCATTGTGGTCTTTACCAGGAAATTGTAAGAGAAAAAACACAAAAAGAGTTTATGTAGACAATGAAAATGATCAACAGAATAAAAAATTTGAATCAAATCAACAACTTTTTAAGTTGAATACACAGAAGAAGAAAACACTTATTTTCACCTTGATGGGGAAAAAAAAGAGGCAAAATATTAAAAACTTGACAACCATAAATCATCCAAATTCATTTAGAAAAGAAACTATTAAGGAACCTGAGAATAATTTTGAATTGCTTTGTTGAATCCACTGTGATAAGACTGAACAACTTCATCCACAACCTCCTCAACTATATCACTTTGCTCCTTTAAAATTTGGACTTCACCTTCACGATCTTTCGATGTCAAGATGTGGACAACATGAGGTAATGAATCAAACCGTGCAGCTGCCCAACTCTCATCTATTCTTTTAAGCTCTTCCCTTAAAAACTGCATAATCATAACAATAAAAGAGCTAAAACATATAAATTTATATAAGAAACCAAATCCCTTTCTTCATTTTTATCCCCATACTTAGACAGTCAGAGCCACATATAGAAAAACATAAAAATGCAGTTCATGTTAACTCATAATAGCCAGACTTAATCGTCCAATCTCAACTCTAATTCCGAACAGCTTCAATAAAGAAAATCCATTAACAAAACTGAACTTACCTCTTTATTAGGTGGAATGGGCAATCCATCGAAAATCCCCATCTCAAACCTTTCAGCTCTCCCAAAGTATTGAACTTAAACCACAGAACTCAGTTCATTCTAAGAAAGCTCAAGTCCCACCTAAAAACAGAAAACAAGGATTTGATGTTTGACAGACGCTAAATTGAGCACAGCTCAATTGCCTCCACAAAATAAAACTGAATCTTCAAAAATATTCAGAGCAGACGCTCACAATTTTCTTCCAGCTAAGCGTTTAACAGAGAATCAAATTTAAGACTAGAATCTAGTAAAAACACCGCCAGATCCAGTTCAGCGAGAAAACTGAAAACAAAATTGTTTTTTACAAGAACATCAGATCACCACTGCATTCAGGATGAATCAAATCTCAAACACAAGCAAACACATATTACTCATCGGCAGGAGCTCGAAGGAGCTGAATTACGAATCCAAAACACAGAAATCGAACATGGAAACTCTACCTCAGCTGCAAACGTCGTCGTTTCAAAGACGATAGTGCATTCGAAGACACCGATCTCGGGGGATATTAGAGATCTCTAAGAAGGTAGAGTAATGGCGAATAAAAGGAAACGTCAAAATCTCGGCGAAGACAACTACGAGGTTCAAGGAAGGAGAAGAAAGGGATGAGAGCTAAATCGCCAGCTCTCGAATATTGAATTATCTTTTTTTTTTTTTCTTTTTTCTTTTTGGTTTCCTTAATTATGCCTAAAAAGAGGATCACCTGTTTCTAAACGGGTCGGAATCGGATTAACATTTCCTCGTGATAAGAAACGACATCGTTTGGATTCACTTCTTTTCCAGTCTTCGACCATCGAAATTTTCTCGGCAACCAAACAGCATCCTTCCTCTGCTTGAGTGCCTCGCATCTCCGGCCATCTCCACGGTGAGTTCAGAGTAAGGAAGAAGTGCAATGAACCCGTCAAATCAAAATCCTGATCAATTCTACTCGCCATTCCCTCCCCCCAAATTCACTCCCACTCCTCCGCAACCGAATGCTGAGTGCAACCCTAATTTTACCGAAATCCCAACCCCGAACCCTTCAACTGAGTCTTCTGTCGGTTCTAGTTCCGATCAGCTTCTCTCGTTCTCTGTCCCTAAGAAGCGACGACGCGGCAGACCTCAACGGAGCGCGACATGGTTTACCATCCCATCGATTCCCAATGTTACGCTCAGTAGTTCTACTCCATCGTCGTCAACTATGCAAGCCGCACGCAATGTTGCGGACGAGATCATCGTGATCAACAAGGAACCGACGTCGGAGGCTCTTATTGCGCTCTCTGCTGGGTTCCCGGCTGACTCGCTCACCGAGGAAGAGATTGACTTCGGCGTTGTGTCAGCTGTTGGTGGAATTGAGCAGGTGAACTACATACTCATTCGAAACCATATAATAGCTAAGTGGCGTGATAATGTCTCCAATTGGGTTTCCAAAGAGATGTTCGTTGATTCAATACCAAAACACTGTGCTTCTCTTTTAAATTCTGCTTATGAGTATTTGGTTACGCATGGGTACATTAATTTTGGTGTTGCTCCCGCAATGAAGGAGAAAATTCCTGCGGAGCCCAGTAAAAGTAATGTGGTGATTATTGGCGCCGGGCTGGCTGGGCTGGCCGCAGCACGGCAGTTGATGAGGTTTGGATTTAAGGTGACTGTATTAGAGGGGAGGAAGAGGCCTGGGGGAAGGGTTTACACAATGAAAATGGAAGGAGGGAACAGAGTGAGTGCTGCAGCAGATTTAGGCGGCAGTGTTCTGACAGGTACATTAGGGAACCCCCTGGGGATCATTGCTCGGCAATTGGGTGCTTCTCTTTTTAAGGTGAGGGATAAGTGTCCACTTTATCGAATGGATGGGAAGCCAGTGGATCTGGATATGGATAAGAAGGTTGAGACAGCTTTTAATCGGCTTTTGGACAAAGCCAGTAGGCTTAGGCAGTTAATGGGGGAGGTTTCAATGGATGTCTCACTTAGTGCAGCTTTAGAGACTTTTAGGCAGGTGTTTGCAGATGCTGTGACTGAAGAGGAGATGAATTTATTTAATTGGCATCTTGCAAATTTGGAATATGCCAATGCAGGATTGATTTCAAAGCTTTCTCTTGCATTCTGGGACCAAGATGATCCATATGACATGGGAGGAGATCACTGTTTCTTGCCTGGAGGGAATGGGAGGTTGGTTCAGGCTCTGGCAGAGAATGTGCCAATTTTGTATGAGAAAACTGTGCATACCATTAGATATGGTAGTGATGGAGTGCAGGTCATTGCTGGGAGTCAGGTATACGAGGGTGAGATGGCATTATGTACCGTGCCTCTTGGAGTTTTGAAGAGTGGATCAATTAAGTTTATTCCAGAGTTGCCACAGAGGAAGCTTGATGGGATAAAAAGGTTGGGATTTGGGTTGTTGAATAAGGTGGCAATGCTTTTTCCACATGCATTTTGGGGTACTGATCTTGATACGTTTGGGCATCTTACTGAAGACCCGGCTCGTAGAGGGGAGTTTTTTCTCTTTTACAGCTATGCTACAGTTGCCGGTGGTCCTCTCCTAATTGCTTTAGTAGCAGGTGAAGCTGCACACAACTTTGAGACCATGCCTCCCACAGATGCAGTGACCCAGGTTCTCCAAATCCTGAGGGGTAATTGATTTTGAAAATACTGTAAAAATTGCTGCCTTTACTTTTCAGAAGAAGAAATTGTTCCTTAATTTCAAATGTCAAAATGCTTTCTTTAGTTCCCAATGTGTTTTTCTTTTTCTTTTTTTTTTGCCACATTATAATATCATGAACCTTATTTTTGCTGGTCATGCAGGTATATATGAACCACAAGGAGTCAATGTCCCAGATCCTATTCAAACTGTCTGCACCAGATGGGGTGGGGATCCTTTCAGCCTAGGTTCATACTCTAATGTTGCAGTGGGGGCAGCTGGAGATGACTATGATATATTAGCAGAGAGTGTAGGAGATGGCAGACTTTTCTTTGCCGGAGAGGCTACTATGAGGCGATACCCTGCAACTATGCATGGAGCTTTCCTTAGTGGGCTTAGGGAAGCTGCAAATATAGCTAATCATGCTAATTCCCGAGCCTTGAAAAGGAAGATTAACAGGAATCCATCAAATAGTGCTCATTCTATTGCTTCCATTCTTGCAGATTTGTTCAGGGAACCTGATTTGGAATTTGGAAGCTTTTCTGTTATTTTTGTTAGGAAGAACACAGATCCAAAGTCACCAGCAATTTTAAGGGTGACATTTAGTGAATCTCGAAAGAAGAACAATGAAGGTTCAAAGCCAGATCAACAACATTCAAATAAAGTACTTTTTCACCAGCTTCAGTCACATTTCAATCAGCAACAACAGCTGCATGTTTACACATTGTCATCCAGACAACAGGCCCTCGATCTGAGAGAGGTCAGAGGTGGAGATGAAGTGAGGTTGAATTACCTCAGCGAGAAACTGGGAGTCAAGCTTGTAGGAAGGAAGGGTTTGGGGCCTGTTGCTGATTCTGTTATTGCTGCCATAAAATCTGAGAGGGGAATTCGTAAATCTACTTCAACTTCTCAGGCTTTTAAGACAGGTGAGAAGTTTTTTGATATTAATTTGCTAATTTTCTCACCCCAAGTCATGAAAGGTAGTTTATTTTAAAACCTTTAATGACTTTGCCAGTTTGGCTTTGGTTTTGTGAAAAAGGTACGTCAAAGTCAAAGCTAAAGGCAGGAGCTCTAAAGCAAAAACTGGTTAGGTATGAGCGAATATTGTAACATTATTCTTCTTGTATATGAAAATGTGTCTCTTAAAATTTGAAGAAAAATTAGCTGATCCATCTCTCTTGATTTGCAGGAGGGCTAGAGAAGTGCGCAGCACCAAGGCTCTTTTTTCTCCTTCAAAACCAAATGCAGCCAATGACAATACGGTGCAGGAAACAAAAGTCTTAAATGAAGCTCCTCCTGATACCTCTGGTTCAGGTACATATGAAGGTGTTGTTAGTTTCCCACTTCCATGATTTTATCTAATATCTACTTTGGTTAATTTTTACATCTTCCTAAACCTAATTGTTCTCAGCATGCTTCTTTTTATTTCTCCCTCTTCTAGAGTGACTTCAACTGTTTTTATATTTATTTATTTAAATTAATATAAGATTTACCAGTGTTATTATCATTTATCTCTTTCTGATCTAGAGATTATGTCTCTTTGGAAATGATCCAATTTGCTGACGTCTTGGAAATTTCTTTTGTGCTTCATGTTATTATTTTCCAAATTAAAGGCCAATACTGAAGTTCCTTTTCTGTTAGGTCAAAATCAATCTGAGGTCTTGAATAGTTGAAGCGAAGACTGGTCTGACGTCAGCCACCATGGACCTTGGGGATCTTGAGAGTACACAGATGCCAAACGATAACATGTCATAAATCAACAGTGTTCACAATATATGGCCACTTTGCACACCGTGACCAATGTTTGTTTTCCTGGCTTTGGAGGAGCTATATTTTGTTGTTACAGTTTATAGTAAAATTTCTCCCAGAGCGAAGATTCTTTTGACTTGCAGCATTGCTAAGCAGATGGGTGTCAGCACCTAGGGTGAAAGGTGGGAAACCAAAAATGCAACTACCCAAGGAACAAGAGCTTAATGCTGAACATATTTGCAAATGCAAATACCACCTTCAAGATGTTCCTGCCACTCGCATTGGTGCTGCATTTGAGCCTCAGAATTACTTTAGTAAGTGGGAATTTGTTGGTACCACAAACAAAAGGTTTGGCTGGTCAATTGACTCAGTAGTCTGTCTAATGATGAAATTTATCACAAACTAACTGCAACATGGAGAAATGCGGTCTGCATGTCTGAGGAATTGCAACAATACCAAGGGAAGTTCATATGGATTATGGAGGCTGCTAGCTAGTGACGCCAAAGATGTTATAAAGTACAGTTTAGTGGCTTCAGATGATTACTTCATTCTTACCTGCGCTTAGCCCAGGATCTCTGTAGTGTTTTATAATGTCATCAACTTTTAGCATTGTACCGTTGGTATATGTTGTATATTTCATAATTCATGTACAAATTTCATACAATATTGATAGATGATTGTGTTTCCCCCCCTTTTTTTTCTGAACAGCATAACAGTGTTTCAGTTGTTCTGATTATATCAAAAGCTGGTGTTTTTGGTTGAACTACACTTCAGGATCACAGAAAATGTGATGAGTTTTTTTTTTTTTTTGGTACTATTATTATTAATAACGAAGACAGTGATGCCCCTTTAAGATTTTTTTTTTTTACAAGAGTAATGGTTAAGAAGTTAGTGAGTTAATTGTTAGTAACTGTTTCTCAGACTTGGTAAACATTCGGTGGAGTTCACAATGGTGGTGGAATTCGAAGTTTCGACCACCATCTCACCCAATCACTAAGGTTTGGAGGCGAACCATTGAACCATAAGGCTCGGTTCGATGCCCATTTAGGATTGACTTAAGGGCGTGCTCGTTTCCCCGATCAAGTAGGCAGTTCTAGACTCGCTCCTAGTTGTATTGGCCTCAATCTAATCATTCACGTCCTGGCACCAAGCCCAACGGAATTAAGACTGTTATGAGCCCAACAAGAAGGGCGGACTGCGACTGACTACGGTAGGAGACTTAACTGGAAGTTCACACACCCAGACTTTGTCCATAGTCCAGAGGCTCTCTGTATATGTTTTTATTAGCTTATCTTCAGTTGAGGTCCGAGGATGACATGAGAGAAGAACATCAGAAACTCACTAGTTCTTGGGGAAATTTTCTCCAGTAGAGGGTTTGGAGCTGTGGATTCTCAGGCAATGGAAGGTGAACTTCGACTTAAAGGTGAACTTTACCGTGCTAAAGAAACATTTTGAGCAATCTTCCCTGACAATGCTGCTTAGAATTTACAATTTTATCAGATTTCACATTGGCAAATCCCTAATCAATAGTAGAAAATTGTTAATGTTCCATTAAGTAGGTAAAGGGGCAAGTATATATATCATTACTTTTAGAAATCACAACTCTCAGCAAATGAGTATTATCAACTATATATCATTTTTCTTTATCCTTTCTCCAAGATACATTAAAAAGAACCATTTCCACATTACATACAGATAGACAAGAAGCAAGCAACAAGAGATGCAATTTCAGCTAAAGGCAGCACATATAACAAGAGATGTAATTTTGGAACAAACAACACCATTTACAAGCAAAGTCAAAACTGTCAAGGTAAAAGCCTCACTGCATTACTTGCCCCCCGCTTTTGTCCACCTTGCCATCAGTTCCTTCCAACCACTCTTCCAGTTTGGCTTCTTTATTGGCCTTGAAATCATCAAAGTCTTCTGACACTGACAATAAATTGTTATTTTGGGAATCGCCATCATCCTGAGCTTCTTCCCTATTTTCTTCTCCTTCATCCAGCTCATCTGCCAGTTGACTGGACAAGGGCAGTTCATCAGCTTCTGTATCTGGAAATGATGAACTAGTGCTGGCGGATGCAACTGATAATGGTGGAGTAGGATATGGCACTAGCTTCTGCATCCGTTGTTTCGATTCAAGTGGCACCCATGTAACACTACTAGCTCTTTGTTTCGCTGATTTGAAAATGGTTGAAAAATAACCACTTCCATCCTGCTGAGCATGACCTGAACTCCGACCCCAAGTGACTGGCCCCCAAGAACCAGTTTTTCCCAACTGAAAACCTGAACTGGGGTTATTGATCAATCCTCTCCTTGGTTGTTTAGTTGACATTATTGTTAGAGAATTCCTGATGTCTTTAATCATCTCATCAGCAATGGGGGAACCACATTCTTTCATTGACCTCACCATTGTAATAGAATCCTCCAAGTCTTCTGTGTGCAAAGTTGTTTCGTGAGACTTCTCCACAACATTATTCTTAAGAGTAATGACATTTGGAATTGCATTTTGAGTGTGCTGTTGCACATAGAAAAGCCCTACTGAGGGTTCATTTGCCACGTACTTGATCATCTCTGCCAAGTTTTCAGTTATCTCCACGAAGCCATCCACAGTGGAGAATCCATTCATCTTGTTAAATAAGTGTTCATCACTGGTTTGAAAAAGTCATAAAGACAATTAATGGGAGGTAAAAAATAAGCAAGGGTGAGTAAGACAATATTAGGTAAGAGAGATAAAAATAGGTAAGGAGATTTATCAATATTTTACTCATTAGTTTTATGTTTAAAAAAAAAAATTCATACAAAAGACCCATAACAACACCCCATTAACATACCAAATACATGGTTAAGTCAATATCAATGAGGAAAGCAGCAATTCTCACTCCTACAACAAGAAAACTTCAATTTATGTAAAAATGAAATATGAATTTCACTGATGGAAACAGTATTGCCATAAGACTGATCCCATCTTGAAAAGGACTTACTTATCTCTAGGTTGCTGGCCTGGCAGTTTATGCACTTTCACATTGAATTTATGAGTGCATTAGAGTACAAGCACATATGTCAAACTGTCACCAAATGAAAAGCAATGCTAACCACACATCATGATTGATCTCCTAAAAGAATTGGTTTCAGTTAGAAATTTATCCATAACAAGACACATATTCAAAGTTCCTGGTTCATAAACTTATGCCCATTTCTTGATGAATATTACCAGAGTTATGCAACAACTAAGAAGAGATCGTCCAGCATGAAAAGAATCTAACATAAAAGAGCACTAAAAACACGGTCCTCATCTGACAAGATGATAAAGCTTAAACTTATTACAAGAATATTCAAAAGTGAAAAAATAATATTTAAAAAAAAAAAAAGGAAAGAAAAGAAAAGAAAAGAAAGAGGAGCACCAATCAGACACCTCAAGCTCATCCAATAACGCTGAACGTTACCTAATCACCTATAAAATACACCAAGCAACTCTTAATGCATTGATGCAGATAACAATCTAGCATCTATTATCATTTGCCAAGTTAATGTTGGTGTCTTCACCTGATAAAATAGATAACATTCAAAAAGCAGTATAGTGGAGCACAACACAGCATCAAAATTTTGAAAACAAACAACATTTTCATTCTTATGATTGAGAGATTATATTGCATAACTCAGGCATCTTTGCTTATACCATTAACAAGGACGTTTTGTGATGCAATGAGCAACATTATCCACAATCAAAATTATCCTTTCGAAAACTGATGTAGAAAAGCTTCAAGGAATTACTCAATTTGACACTTTGCTGAACTTACCCCAAAACTTTACCAGGCTCCATTACTCTAAAACCCAAAGTTTGTCTGAAAAAATAATCACAATGCTTCCTCACCATAATCTTAACAGCATTTTTCTAGAAAACAAACAGATCTAAATGCTAATCCTTCCTCATACTACAACCAATTAAGTTAAAGACTAAGATCAATCAGTCCCCACATAAAAAATATCACAATAACGAAAAAAAAAAAAAAAAAACAGCAGCCAAAAATGTTATTTTGTCTTGATTTACTAAATCAACAGATACACATAAATAGAGAAAAAGAAAGGGGTAAATTAATATATGGCTAATACGCACATTGAGAACAAAAACAAAAACAAAGTTGAGGTTGTTGATCATGTGGGTTACCTCTTTATTTTCCCTTCTCTCAGATATTGTTGAAGATCAGACCCAAAGGTTCAAGCTTTGTGCTTTGTGTATGCAGAAGCTTCTTCGCTTTTCCCCCTCAGACTCTCTCTCTCTCTTATCTTCTCCGTAATTCTGTCGTTCCTCTTTTAGTTGAACTCAGAGGGAGCCCCCCGTGTATATGAAGACAAAGACAGATTATGCCAAAAAATAATAATAATAACAAGCGACGAAAAGAGGAAACAGGCCTGCCTACCTCTTACCTAAGCCCACTTCATTGGCCTAATTTCAACCCATAACAATTTAACAAAACAGAGCCAACACCCACTAGAACAAAGGCCCATGAACTTGTTTCATATTTTTAGTTTCTTCTGGGCTCCAACAACCCAACTCCATTGAATGGTTAATGATGTTAAGTTCAACTTTTGGTACAGGCAGTAGAATTTACTTCTAATTTCTACAATTTTCTTAATGTTAAATTTGATTTTCTATGCTTACACTCTTGTAATTTTCCTTTATTTGTGCATTTTAAAATTTTCGTTTAATTCTTGATAATTTTCGTTTATTTGGTGTACTCAGTCCTCCCTGAGTTGATTACTTACTAATAAGCATCACTGATATGGTTGCACAAGAGAGCAACTTAAGGAATAAAGTGGTTTCAAGTCTAATGTTGCGTGGCACTTATTCTTCTTCTTCTTCTTCTTCCTTTTTTAATTCTTGTTATGTTTGCATTCGTTCAATGTGGGTTGTTGTATAGTTGGCCTTTGTTTAATTTGTGTCCTAATTAAGTCACAAACACACACTAAACATGGACGTAGAAATTATATTATGTACTGTTTTCATATTCCTTTCTTATGTTTTGATTCTTTTACTGTATTTTTTCTCTTTACTGGTGAGTTGCATGATTTTTATGCTTCCATGGCTGGATTACCTTATTATTCATTATATGCATTTGACGAATTTTCCCTTTGTTTTTCATGATCTTTGTATGTTTAGCTTTGTGATTTTACAGTTCTATTTTTTGATTATCTGCCACTGTTTTGTGATATATTCATCATCTCCCTCTGAGAAGTGTTCTCTGATATTATTTGTTTCGCTATATAAGCCAGCCTG